AAAACCCCAAAACCCCAAAACCCCAAAACCCCAAAACCCCAAAACCCCATAAGATGAAAATAAAGCGATAGTTTGTGTGAAATAAATAAAGTAAATATATAAATTTAAAATGTAAGTTAAAAAGACTGAGGTGGACGAGAGAATCGAGCGCATTAAAAATCACAAGGGAGTTAAGGGTTTGCTTATTGTTAACTACAGGGACGATAAAGATGGAGGTCAAAGCTAGCCTTAGTTCGTTAGATGTACCATGCCTTAGGGACCAGAAGCCACTAATTACGGAGTTAAATTAGCATCTCTAGCAAGATAAGCTAGAAATCTAGTAAGAGATTTAGACCCATCTAATGATTTGACATTCTTGAGAATAACATGTAAGAAATACGAGATGATGATAGCCCCTGATAAAGATTATTTCTTGATCGTTATACAATGCCCTAGTGAGGAAGAGGCTTAATGATGAAAGATAAATTTTTAATTTCCATGATATTTTAAAATTAAATAAGGTTTAAACTTTGATATTATCTGAGTTAACTTGAAGCGTATATGATTTCACCCAACTATTTTTATTAACTCTCTCGGATGATTTATGTTCATTTCTCATTAAAATGCTTGAAGGCCAGTGATGGCTCTTCCGATGATAAGAGCATGAATATCATGAGTACCCTCGTAGGTATTAACAGTCTCTAGATTACATAGATGTCTTATGATATGATACTCGTCTACAATACCGTTACCACCAAGCATATCCCTCGCATCTCTAGCGATTGCCAATGACTTTCCACAGTTGTTTCTCTTTAACATAGAGATCATCTCTGGGGCTAACTTATCCTCATCCTTTAATCTGGAAAGTCTTAATACTGAATGAAGTCCTAGAGTGATTTCAACCAACATATCTGCCATCTTTTTCTAGATTAACTGAGTCTAGGCAAGAGGTTTGCCGAATTGCTTTCTGTTTAAGGTATACTCACGAGCTTAATGGAAACAAAATTCTGCTGCTCCTAAAGTTCCCCAAGCAATACCAAATCTGGCTTAGTTTAGACAACTGAAAGGTCCCTTGAGACCTTTAACGTTGAGAATGTTTTCCTTAGGGACTCTAACATCATCGAGCATAATCATTCCTGTTGTAGAAGCTCTTAGGGAATGCTTTCCTTCTATTTTAGGGGTGGAAATGCCCTTCATGTCTCTGGTCAAAACATATCCCTTAATTTCCTTTGATTCATCCTTCGCCCAAATCACGAATACATCTGCATGAGGTGAGTTGGTAATCCATGTTTTGCTACCGTTTAGCAAAAAGTGGTCACCCATGTCTTTTGCATTAGTCTCCATTGATCCAGGGTCTGATCCATGATTTGGCTCAGTCAAACCAAAGCATCCAATTAACTCTCCAGTTGCGAGTTTAGGAATAAGTGCGTCCTTGACTGATTTGCTAGCATAGGTATAAATCGGGTACATAACAAGAGATGACTAAACTGACAAGGCAGATCTATATCCACTATCAACTCTCTCTACCTCTCTATTTATCAAACCTAAATTTTTCAGTTAATTTGTTTTAATTATTACCATAAGCAGCAGATGAGACACCTGGTAGCCCATATTCATTGATGGTGCAACCTAGGAAGCCTTGCTCACCAAACTCTCTCATAATTTTGACGTCAAATTTCTCCTCATTGTAGGCCTGTCTGATTCTGGGCATCAACTTCTCCTGAGCATATCCCCTAGCAGCATCTCTTACCATTTTCTCATCCTCAGTGAGTAAGTCCTCAATGATGAGTGGATCTAGGTAGTCAAACTTTTGAAGCTTTGTCCCTGAAGCAAAGCATCTTAATGATTATGCGATAATGTGTGACTTTAGTAGGGAAGATTGTACGGGTGTGACAGTTCTTGTTAGTATATTGAATCCTTGCTTGATCATGTGGTTAATGATTAGATTGATAAATTTATGATAATTAATTTATATATTTATACTTCATAGACCTTAATAAGATTGATTAGTTTTTGACAAATTCTTAGACTTAATTATCTCTATTAAATCAATATTAATACTATATTTGTGGCGAAAGTTCTAGCAAATATTCTTATCTCTGAATTTTGATCAATCCTTTCTTCTTCTGTTTCTATTCTCATTCTCCTGGAGTTTCTGAAGAATTTGGACAATTCTGATGAAGAGGTCGAATAAGTCAAGGAAAAGCATCATTGTGTGAGTTGGTACATCTTTGTCTCCTCTTTCAGCTCTTTCAATGATTACTTAGGTGTCATAGATAATGTAGAGGCAGGCAACGAATAGACCACACATAATATAGGTCAAACCAAATCCTCCAAATCCAGTGAGCCATGAAATGAGTCTGTAGAGTACCATGCATTGGACCATAGTGACGATAATGCCTCCTACGAACAACATGGATCTTCTCTTGCTGAACAATGAAATAGCACTGAAGGAGGTGAATGCAATTCCGGTGTAAAGTAAGGCTTGAATAAGAAGTTTAGGGTTAACTTCTGCAATGTGATGAATAGCTGGTCCAACGAGGTATCCCAACTGGAAGGCGAGAGTGGCCAAATAGAGCATTCTGCTTTCTTCAGAATTGTTTCTATTGTTTATCTGGTAAATAAGGTAGACTGAGAGAATGATCGACAGAATGGTCATTAAGAAGCCACTAAGGATGAGGGTGGCATTGACGTACATACCAGCAGCACAAACTATACTGCAGGCCATAATCATGGTGTAAACCTTGGTTAAATGTGCTTGAGTCTTTTCAGAAATGTCTGATAAGGAGAATACTGAACTCATTGAGGGTCTATCTCTGTTGAAGAAATTTGAAAACATTGAGCTTTGTTGGTGTCGGTTCATTTTGACAAGTGTCTTTCTACTTTAAAATTATAATTCATTTTTAGAAAGTAATTTAAATACCTTATTTCTCAGAATATTCCTGTCTACAGTTCTATGGGGTTTTGGGGTTTTGGGGTTTTGGGGG